GTCTTAAACGTTAAGGCTAGACTTATGTCAAGACTGGGTCAGATTCACCCTCAACATTAGTGATGCTTATCTACAATGTATAAATTTAATTGTGGAGTTTTTTGATGATTTATGTTTCCCCTGTGTGAAATGGACTGCAGAGGAAGAAACCATTGATGCAGCTTTAATTTCTGACTTTATGTGTCATACCACTACTATATTGCCAATCAAATATTAAGAAATTTGGCCTCTACCATGTCTTTTTTTTCTGTTTTTATTGTGTTTTTTTATTTCTCAAAAAATAATAATCAAAGAAGGATGAGACAACCATTTTGAAAATGGTGTTTTAATTTATTTTAAATACAAGAAGTTCTTTATTTACTCTTACAAGGTTGGAAATGCCAGCGCTGTTAAGATTTTTGTGCAATCACCCCTGCTTGCCACTATGAGCCACAAATACTGTATATACTAATGCTATGAGACATGCGTGAAGGATGTATATACATGCTTGTATGTTTTTATTGTACACTTTTAATTTCACCTGTACAGTCTGCTTTGGCCCATGCCTGCTACGACTGGTGGCGTTTGGAGTTGCCACACAATCTGATCCAATTCCAGGTCCAAACAAAAGCCAGATGCCTTGGCAGGGCTTTTAAAGGGCTGTTGTAATGATAAAGAGTTACATACCCAGCTGTGTTTTTGAAGCTAGTAACACCGTTTCCACTTCAAAGATTCATCAGTGTTCCTTTTCCCTTTCCTGTGCTGATAGATGGGGTTAATTTGTGAATAAGGTCTCCTGTATAGTTCTTGTACAGCATGCAGACCCCTGGAGGACCAACAACAGATCAGACAGACCACAAACTTGATAGGGGGGAAACAGGAAGACAGAGAATCTCACCTGGTAGTGATTGTGAAGCCCCGAAGCTGAGCTGGGACTGGAGAAAGGCGGGGTACTTTAGGGGGTGGGGTGTGGGGTATCCCATGGTGAAACTCCGTCCCTGGGGTCTTCCACACATTTAAAAAACACAAAATTACAACAAGAAACAGCTGGAACTGGTTGCAGTGCTGTGCCAGCCCTCTCCCCTGCTCCATACATCTAAATCATCTGTGTATTACTACAGCCAGACTAATAGCCCAAATGAGGATGAAGAAACGTCACAGTGTTTAATTCCCCTCCAGCTTCATGGAAAGTAGGTTCTCAGCTGGTGATGTGGTTCCATGTGTTATAATGCTTTATTGAATTAGTGCCTTAAAGTAGGCACTGGTTGGCCAATTTCCTGTTTATATCAGCTTGTAGGTATGATTTATGTTGTTTGATTTTTGTATATAGATTATATCTATAGGCTCTAAACCAGAGAACTTTAAATAAAGATATAATCCACTTTCAGTTATATTGTTTTGTTTTAATTTGTACATTTAATATCACTTATGTTATGATGGAATTACTCCAGTCTTTCTACAAAGACTTGAAGCATAATCTATTTCATGTCTACAGTACTTGATAGATGGTGATTGTGAACACATGTCGAGCAGAAAGGGATCATTGAAATGAAAAATGATAAACTGCTTTATAACAGCATCAGGATTTCAAGATGTTCTTGGCGAGTTTACTGTAATCTTGATTAAAAGCAATTCTTTAGCCCACAAGTCAGAAGGTCAACACACTTGAAATTGTTGTACCAATGCGTGGATGGCACTGTTGGTTTCTTTTCGTTTTTATTATCTGACAAAAGTTATTTCATAGTGAATCTACCAACTTGACATATTGCACCTGCTCTCAGAAACCTGATAAAAGGTCACATATTTTTTTCACTCAGTTAGTGTTATTTCGCCATGCAAACAGTTTTGGGTTTGTTTTTTTTTCAATTCAGGTTTTAAGATATCCATCTTCATAAAAGTTCCATTGTGTAACATTTAGAAGGATCAATTGGCAGAATAGAATATAATGTGCATTACCATGTTTTCATTAGTACATAATCACAAAAAGACACTGCGGGTTGCTTACATGGATGGAGTCTGCCATGTTGAACTGCCATGTTTCTACAGTAACCCAGAACGGACAAATCAAACACTGGCTCTACATAGGGCCATTCACATTTCACAGCCACTGTAGTTTTTCCCTCATGCTTGGAAGGGAAGGTTGAAGTAAGGGAGTTGAAGTAAATTCCACTAAATACACACTGGCTCCTCAAGATTAGTGCATCCACCTGGTATAATGAAGGTAAAGGACTTTGGAAATTCCACAATAAAACGTCTTTCCAGAAACAGTCAGAGTTGCTCTGACTGATCCACATGTTTTTTCTGTAATTTGAGTGAACTGATCATTTAACATCATACATTTGAGAATTTATTTTCCTGTTCAAGCTATCATTCCTGCAGGCAATATTTTACATTGTGTGGGGAATCACAATTCCCTTGCATTTTCTTTATTTATGTGAAATGTGAAACCAAATTTGCCTTCTGTTAGTTTGCCAAGTTTTCAATATATGGCTGACAGTTTGCTGCTGTCAGCCAGCTTTCATCTATAATTTACACTCTTGAAAAAAAATTTGCCTTAACGTACAGAGTGGAGAGGGACGGGAAAGAGGTTCCAACAAAGGTTCAGAGACAGATTTACATATTATGAGCATATGGTTTTAACACTGAAGATTTACAGTTAACCTCTGGAGACATGCTGTCAAGTAACTAATTCATGACATGACTTTCTTGTGCATTAGATTTTGTATTTCAACAAGACTAATTAAAACCAAGTGCTGAGGATTCAGGAGGGGTTAATCAAGGCTCTCCTGCTACCCCAGTGTGTCCAGGCCGGAGAATGGAACGCTCCACAAAAATAAACACATGTATTTATAACGAAATAAACACTAGACCCATGGGGACATTTGTGGGAGTTTCATTGGCAGCGGTATTGAAAACCACTGTCATCCCTCATTTAAAACAATATTACTCACTTGCATGTTGTGAAAGTTGTGCGTACGTGGGGCTATTTTTTACCATGGTGTCAAAACAACTGGGAATGGAAAGCATTAAGGTATTTTATTTATATGACTATTTAACCATTTAGCTTATTCTTCAGGGTGATTTACACTATGTGAGTTCACAGCTTCATCATTAATTTCTCCAGAGATGCATAATAAACCCTTGCTGAATATATTATACTTCAGGCCTAATAGTAAATGTACCTTGTTACATTATGAGAGATGATCTCTATGGTAACCAGGGCATTTCTGAGCTTGCTAAACTTCATGCCTGCCTGTGGTTGTAAATAGTTTAAGACTATCTATATGAAGGGCATTATCTAACACATACATCAGATGTAGTATCTGCCTGAGGGGTTAATGAGGCAGATGAAATAGATACTATATCTGGAGTAGATAGACACACTCCTGTGGTTTTACATTATTATCTCCATAACTGGTCACTAAACCATCAGCATGCTGTGAATAACCTTATAATTTTGGAATAACCAGCATATTTGATCATGGAGTCAGCATACTTAATTCTTAATCATAATAATATTTCATAAAGGTTAAATATGGATTAAAGCCTTGTCTTAAACCAACATTCAAACAGGCTGATATCAAAATAATGTGTTATGTCTGGTCAGCTGACAGAAACACAGCAAATAGATCATTCCTTAGAAACCATCACAAATCATGAATGATCTGGTCCACATGGATGTGAATGACCCAGGGCCTGGTGAGAAGTGTCTCTTTTTGGTTTTTGGTTTTGGGAAAACGTCAGCACTGGAAGCAGTAAAGCATGACAGAAAAGACTTGGTCGCCAGTATTTGGACGCTGCGGTAGGCGACGCTGAATGTCATATACTTAATCGTTTCAACCCACTTTGGTCAGTGTCCCTGTGGGAGACGGCCATCTGGTTTCAAGCCTTAAACTGGATGTGGGACAAGGGTGCAGCTAGAAATTCTAGGATAAAGCTGATTTAAGGTGATTTCAGAGATGATGAATATTTATAATCTCTGACTTGAAGTTTCAGGTTTTTTTCCCAATTATCCCTTATGTGGTGTGGATGGCTCTTACACTTTCTCTCAGCCTTGTAAACTGTTAAAGAGTGTGTACCAGAGAGGATAGTGTTCAATAATTTAATAAGTTTGAAGTTGGAGGAAAAGTGGTATCATCAGATGGGTATAAATCAGTAGCAAGAGTCAGATGAATCAGGGAGCCCTGAGACTCAAGCTAAGGGCAGAGAGGACAGGAGAAAATAGAAGCAACATAAGAAGCAAAATAAATCTGGGGAGGGGGGTGTAAAACCGAAACAGACATGGAGTAGAGCTGGTTTACATGATTAGAAGAGGAACAGGCATGGTCTTGTTCTTCAACCTGTGTTAAATTTAACTTCATTATTTTGCGGCTTCCATTGAGCTGGAACTGTTTACATCCCGTTTTCAGCACTCGAAGGGGGAAACCGCTTCTGAAAAAGTCACTTAGTGCTCCACAGTCGCAAACAGTGACACGGACGGTCAATACTGCAGCCTGAGGAACCAATGGTGCTTCTGACCCGGACATGAGGGGCCTTTGGCTGAGCTGTGTAGTCTGAAACCCACAGTGGAGTCACGTCTTCTGTTCTCATCATGTGATAATTTGAGTGAGGGAGAGAAGAATTTGTACAGATTAGACTCAGATGTGCACAGTATCAGAGGCCTACAACAGTAACTTTTATGACAGTGGAAGTTACAGTCGTCAGAAGATCTAGTTTTATTCATGTAAGTGACTTATATTCTGACACTTAACATTGTCCTGCAGCATTGATTCAGAGGTGTTACAGAGAGCAGCGTCAGTTACTTTCTCATGCTGGAGGCCAGTGGAGACATTTTTAGCTTGGCGCTGTATTCTAGCAATTAAAATGCCTCCAGAAATGAGCAGCTAGTCTCTGTTGTTTTTCTCTTCCTATTATAGACACTAGCTGGTCTTCCTGCTCCACTGCCAAAAGTACTGCTTCTGCGAAGAGGCACACTAATTAACCCTTTTTCTATTCCGCACACAAACATACACACACACACACACACACACACACACACAAAACACACATAGCAACATTATTAATGCAAGTTCATCAGCCAGTGTCACAGCCTTGTGTAATTCGAAATAACAGTATGAATATGTTATTTCATAATTAAGCCCACAAGACCCAAATCTGATGAATTGTCTGCCTTAGCCCTTTTGAGCTGAGGGAATTATTTTATGATCAGAGTTAAAAAAAAAATCATAAACTGCATTTCAATAAGGCAGCTTCCACTATTTTATCAATTTGGCCTGAATCCCTCCCTTTGTGAGCTTTCCATTTAAATTTGTGTCTAAACTAACCAGCACCACAGCAGGCCTAGGTATACGTGTTTATGGTGAGGGAGCATCATCCCTTAAAATACCCAGCTCATTTTCCACATTTACAGTGCTGCCATATAGACTGTTTAATAGAGCATTAAGTTTGTCCCTATTGGACAACATCCTATTTTCCTTTTCATTTACAATTAACTCACTGAGAGCAATTATTTTTAGTTTAATTTTTCCAGCCCACTAACCTGCAGCTGTTTTGCCTTTGGAACTCATCCATAGATTTAATCAAATTGAATCTATTTATTGTGTTTTTTTCCCTTTAATGACCCTACACCTGTGATTAGTCTTCCATAGCAGTGATTAGTTTGTAGCAAGTATAATTACACAACTAAACTGTGGGAGACTGCGATCAGCGACAGAGGGAGATGATGATGGTAATGATAGCAACAATGATGATGATATTAACCTTTGACCTGAGTTGGTGGCAGTGGGGACCCTCCACTGTGACAGACAATTGCAGCCAGAAGTTCAGCAGCACTATGCACCTGCAGGCTGGATCCAGCCTCCCTGGCATATTGTGAGATGCCTTATTGAGATCTCTTTATTAAACAGTTTTATCTGTAATGATCTTGTTATAATAACCTACAGTATCTATCATATGTGCAAATGTGGGTCTTGTTCTGAGTAGAACTCATCAGGGGTCAAAAGCAGTTAATTCCCAGCTCTTATGTACAGCAGTACTCATCCAGCACATCCTTGGCTGCTGACAAAGTGACAGTGATGATGGAACAAGCGATTAGCCACATCTAATCTCTAAATCTTCTCTTCCAGTATACAGTTCGCTGCTGTTTCCTTGCACAAAGAAATTCAGCAAACGTCACACTGATTTCATACAATTACCTTATTGTAATTTTATTTGCATTATTTACTAAAGGTGTGCTTTAGGCTCAGGGGCTTTTGTTTTTTGGTACAACTGTAAACATCAGGTCCATATATAAAGGACCTAAGCCTCAACTTCATGATAAACACAAATGGTTAAATTTCCTTCTAACCTTCTCGAGTCAGATATTTAATTTGCTTTGCATGTGTTCAG